GATCTCTTGACCTTGTGATCCACCCACCTCGGCCTCCCAAAGTGCTGGGATTACAGGCTTGAGCCACCGCGCCCGGCCTGGATTGTTTTTATACATTTGATGATTTGGCACCCTACATATAATGCTTTTTTAAGGTACTATCAAATAATATATGAAGGGAAAAAGCATTATTCCTATAGCATCTCAAATAAGATTTTGTTATTTAGCATTAGATTTTAAAAATTATTTTGTATCTTCTGATTTCTTATAGATGAAAATCTAACCACTTAAAACCATGAAAATACTTTTTCAGAATATAAACAGTGTACATATTATATCTGAAAACATTATAATGCATAAAAGTTAGAAGAAAATAATAATTAGTGGTTGATCCCACTATTCAGACACACTAATTTGGTGAGCCTCCTTTTAGTTTTTCACCCTTATTTTCATAGAGCTTAATCATTTTCATGCTTAATACATAATTATGCATTTTGCTGCCTCCTTCTCCCAGCTTCCTGACATGTCATATCACCCAGGCTGGAGTGCAGTGGTGCAATCATGGCTCACTTCAGCCTTGACCTCCCAGGCTCAAGCGATTTGTCTGTCCACCTCAGCCTCTTGTAAACAGCATTTTTATGGCCCATATCCCATTGTATGAATGTGGCTTCGACTGCTGAACCACACCCTAATTTGGGGTTTTTATGTTTTCTTCTGTTCTTTGCCCATATAATGTGGCAATGAATATATGTGGATAAGATACTTTTCATACTTTGGCATATTTTATTTCAAGCTTTTAAAAGTGAGATTAATGAGTCAGAAGGTATGAATATAAGGCTTTTTGTCAAATTGATTTCCTAAAGGGCTATTCATTATACTTTTTCACTGGCATTGAGATCAAGGGTCCTGGGAGTAGGAGTGTTGAAAATGCAAAATGTCACTTTGGTTCTGGAATTTATCTTGCTTTCCTTTGTTTTGTTACACTTTTTGTCCTCTCCTGATGCTCACACATTGCCTTTATTTGTCATATGTCTTTAATCTCTTTCAATCTAAAGTAGTGGTTCTCAATTAGAGAGTGGATATTGTCTCCTAGAGGACATTCAAAAATGTCTGGAGATATTTTTGTCACAATCAAGCGGGTAGCTACTGGCATCTAGTGAGTAGAGGCCAAGCATGCTGCGAAGCCTCTCACGGTACACAGGACGGCCCCTGGCAGCATAAGCATGTCTGCCCCAAGATCTCAGCAGTTGAGAAACCCTGATCTAGAACAGTCCTTTCACTTTTTTTAGTGACATTGCCTTAAAAGGAAATCGAAGTCAAAGTCACAAAGCATAGAATTAACCATTTTAAAGTTTAAAGTTTACCGGCTTTCAGTGTATTCACAGTTTTGTGTAGTTACCATTTCTTTCTGGTTTCAAAACTTCTCATGACCCCAGAAGAATGCCCCGCACCCATAGTTTCCCCATGCCCCTTCCCCCAGTCCCTGGCAGCCACTCATCTCCTTTCTGTTTCTGTGGATATTTGCCTACTCTGGACATTTCATAGAAATGGAATCATATTATATGTGGGCTTTTGTATCTGGCTTCTTTCTCTGAGTATGTTTTTGAGGTTCATCCATGTTTTAGCACGTGTCAGTACTACATTACTTTTGATGGCTGGATAATATTTCATTGTCAGCATTTATAGGAATTTGGGTTGTTTCCACTTTTGGCTGTCCTGCTGTGTATATTCATGTTTGAGTTTCTGTGTGGATAGGTGATTCATTTCTCATGGTCTATACCCAGGATTGGAATTGCTGGGTCATTTGGTGTATTTTTAACTTTTTGAGGAGCTGCCAGACTCTTTTCCACAGCAACTGCACTATTTTATATTTTATATTCCTACTGGTAATGTACAAAGGTTCCAATTTCTCCACATCCTCATCAACACTTATTTTCTCTCTTTTTTTATTTTATAGCCAGCCCAGTGAGCATAAGGTGGCGTCTGATTGTGGTTTTGATAAACATTTCCCTACTGACTAATCCTTGACCTCCCGGGCTCAAGTGACCCTCTCACCTCAGTCCCCCAGTAGCTGCTACTACAGGCATGCACCGCCATGCCTGGCTAATTTTTGTATTTCTTGTAGAGACAGGGTTTCGCTATATTGCACAGGCTGGTCTCAAACTCCTGAGCTCTGGCAGGCAATCTGTCCACCTCAGCCTCACAAAGTGTTGGGATTATAGACATGAGCCACTGTGCCTAGCCTATTTTATATATTTTGGATACTAGACTCTTACCAGATACGTGATATGCAAATATTTTCTGCCATTCTGTGGGTTATTTTTTTACTTATTTATTTATTTATTTTATTATTATTATTATTTTTTTTTTATTTTGTTTTGGGGAACGGAGTTTCACTCTTGTTACCCAGGCTGGAGTGCAATGGTGCTATCTCGGCTCACCGCAACCTCCGCCTCCTGGGTTCAGGCAATTCTCCTGCCTCAGCCTCCTGAGTAGCTGGGATTACAGGCACGCGCCACCATGCCCAGCTAATTTTTTGTATTTTTAGTAGAGACGGGGTTTCACCGTGTTGACCAGGATGGTCTCGATCTCTTGACCTCGTGATCCACCCGCCTTGGCCTCCCAAAGTGCTGGGATTACAGGCTTGAGCCACCGCGCCCGGCGTTTATTTATTTTTTATTGAGACAGGATCTCACTGTGTCACTCTGGCTGGAGTATAGTAGCATGATCGTGGCTCAGTGCAGCCTCAACCTCCCAGGCTCAAGTGATCCTCTTGCCTCAGCCTTCTGAGAGCTGGGACTACAGGTGCATACCACCATGCCTGGCCAATTTTTTAAAAAATGTTTAGAGATGGGGTCTTGCTGTGTCGCCTAGGCTGGTCTTGAATTCCTGGGCTCAGGCAATCCTGTCTCCTCAGCCTTCCAAAGTGCTGGAATTATATGTGTGAGCCACCATGCCCGGCCACTAAAGATTTTAATTTTGATGAAGTCCAATTTATATTTTTGTTGCTTGTCTTTGGTATAATATTTAAGAATTCTATTTTCTTTCTTTTCTTTTGTCCTTATTTTTTTTGAGACAAGGTCTTGCTCTGTTGCCTAGGCTGGCGTGCAGTGGCATGATCTTGGCTCACTGCAACCCCTGCCTCCTGGGCTCTAGTGATCCTCCTACCTCAGTCCTCCGAGTAGCTGGGACTGCAGGCGTGTGCCACCACCAAATCTGGCTATTGTTGTATTTTTTTTTTTGTAGAGATGGTGTGTCACTGTGTTGCCTAGGCTGGTCTCAAATTCCTGGGATCAAGAGATCCACCCAGCTCAGCCTCCCAAAGTGCTGGGATTACAGGAGTAAACCACTGCACCTGGTCAAGAATCCCGTTTTCTGTCATTTCTTTCAATAGTGATTTGTAGTTTTCACAAATCCTTGGTTAAATTTTTTCCTAGTATTTTATTTTTTTGTCTCCTTTTGTAAATGGAATTGCTTTCTTAATTTCCTCTTTTGATTGTTCAATGCTGGTGTGTAGCAACTGATTTTATGTGTTGATTTTGTACTTGGCAACTTGGCTGAATTCATATATTAGCTTTGGTAGGTGTATTTGTGGATTCTTGGGGATTTTCAATATGTATGATCATGTCATCTGCTAATAGAGATAGTTTTACTTTTCCTTTCTAATCTGGATGCCTTTTGTTTCTTTTTCTGGCCTAATTACCCTTGCTAGCATATCCAATATGATGGTGGAAGGCAGTGGTGCAGCGGGCATCCTTGTCTTCTTCCTGATCTGAGGGGAATGCTTTTGGATTTTGGCCATAAAGTGGCAAGTTAGCTGTGGGTTTTCATAGTTTCCCTTTATCAGACGGAGGAAATTCTCTTCTGTTTCTAGTGTGTTGAATGTTTTTATCTTCAGATATTAACTTCTTTAAAGCTTTGTTTTACTTTTAATATAAAAACTTTGGTGTGTGTGTTGTATTCCAACAGTGCTGATTCCTAAAGAGAAGCCCCCAATCACAGTTGTGGGTGATGTTGGAGGAAGGATTGCCATCATTGTGGTATGTAGACCTTTTTTATTATTAATTCTAGTATTTGCCATTGTTATTCTGTTGACTGATTGACTGACTGACTGACTGACTGACTGATTTTGAGTCTTGCTCTGTTGCCCAGGCTGGCGTGCAGTGGCACAATCTTGGCTCACTGCAACTTCTGCCTCCTGTGTTCAAACCATTCTCCTTCCTTAGCCTCTTAAGTAGCTGGGATTACAGGTACCTGCCACCATGCCTGGCTAATTTTTGTATTTTTAGAAGAGATGGCATTTCACTATGTTGGCCAGGCTGGTCTCGAGCTCCTGACCTTAAGATATCTGCCTGCCTTGGCCTCCCAAAGTGTTGAGATTACAGGCATGAGCCACCGTGCCTGGCCCATTCGTAAAGATAGTAGTGTGGCCAAATAATTATCATTTAAGTTGGTGTCTTGTGGTAAATTGTTTGCTTTGGCCCAGAAATTGGAAGATTCTATTGTTTATTTTAAAATTGCTAGCTACTAGTCGGGCTCCGTGGCTCAAGCCTGTAATCCCAGCACTCTGGGAGGCTAAGGTGGGCTGATTGCTTGGGCCCAGAAGTTCAAGACCGGCCTAGGCAACATGACAAACCCTGTCTCTACAAAAAATAAAAAAATTAGCCAGACTTGGTGGCACATACCTGTAGTCCCAGCTACTCAAGAGGCTGAGGCAGGAGGATTGCTTGAGCCTGGGGCACAGAGGTTGCAGTGGGCTGAGATCATGCAACTGCACTCCAACCTAGGTGACAGAGTGAGGCTGTGTCTCAAAAAAAAAAAAAAAAAAAAAAAAAAAAAACAAAACTGTCATAACATGAGATATTGTTCTGTGATAAAAATAAAGTACAGTCCAGGTGCGGTGGCTCACGTCTGTAATCCCAACACTTTGGGAGGCTGAGGCAGGCAGATCACCTGAGATCAGGAGTTTAAGACCAGCCTGGCCAACATGGTGAAACCCCTGTCTACTAAAAATACAACAATTAGTTGAGCGTGGTGGCACATGGCTGTAATACCAGCTACTTGGGAGGCTGAGTCTAGAGAATCGACACATACCTGTAGTCCCAGCTACTCAAGAGGCGGAGGCAGGCAGGAGGATTGCTTGAGCCTGGGGCGCAGAGGTTACAGTGAGCTGAGATCATGCCATTGCAATCCAGCCTGGGCGACAGAGAGACTCCATCTTAAAAAAAAAAGGTATAGTACAAAGTTGATTATAACTGTTTAAAACATACATTCTTTCACACATCGTAAGACCAGTACACAAAAAGAGTGCACTTAATGCCTATGCCTATATAGTTTAAAGAATAGAATGAACACTGGGTACCTGCTAGCTCACTTGAAGCATACAACATCACCAGGTACCTGGAAGCCTCCTCTGGGGTTACCCTGGTCTCTTTGCCTCAGAGGTTGCCACTGATGTGAAGCTGCCCATCTTTATCCTGATAGTCAGCCGTGAGTGCATGGGTCCTTAAATGCTGTCTGATTTTCTTGTCTTTGATGTTTATGTAAATGATGTCTTTGTGTACTTTGGGACATTTTTGCTTAACACTTGTATTGAAATTTATCTGTGTAGTGGCAGGAAGTTGTACATTATTCTTTTTCACTGCTGTGTGATGTGTCTTTGGTATAACTGCTACACAACTGACTGAGGCAGTGGTACTGCTTTGAACATCCTTGCACCTATTTTCTAGTATATCTGTGTGAGTTTCAAGGTGCGTGGGAGTGGAGTTGTTGGGTCTGAAGGCGTGTACATTTTTAACTTTACAAGATGCTGCCAGATTGTTTCCAAAGTGGTTGCATCCATTTCCCAAGCTCCATAATGTGTGTCCCACATTATCCCCAGTGCTTGACAATGTTGTGCACACCTTCTTCAGGACAGAAAATCTCTCACGTTGGCTGGGCGCAGTGGCTCACACCTGTAATCCCAGCACTTTGGGAGGCCGAGGCAGGTGAATCACCTGAGGCCAGGAATTCAAGACCAGCCTGGCCAACATGGTGAAACCCCATTTCTACTGAAAATACAAAAATTAGCCAGGTGTGGTGGTGTGCACCTGTAATCCCAGCTACTCAGGAGGCTGAGGCAGGAGAATCACTTGAACCCAGGAGGTGGAGGTTGCAGTGAGCCAAGATCACACCACTGCACTCCAGCCTGGGTGACAGAGGGAGACTCATCTCGGGGAAAAAAAACATAAGAAAATCTCTCATGTCACCCTTTCGGGTAATAGCTGTCTATTAATTATTCCTTAGTTGGCAAGACTATAGTAACAAGGTGCTGTGGATTTAGTAGCACTTTTATTCCCCTTCTATTGTCACTGCATCATTTAGAAAACCTTTTTATTTTGAAGTAATTATAGAGCCACAGGAAGTAGGGGGAATATCAGGGACATCCTGCGTATTCTTTACCTAGCATCCTCCATTTTGCTTAACAATAGTACAGTAACACAGCCTGGAAATTCTCAGTGCCACTGCCACAGAGGTCCTTCAGACAGCACCAGTTGTGCATGTACTCTGTGTGTGTGTGTGTGTGTGTGTGTGTGTGTGTGCGCGCGTGCGTGTAGTCTTATCGTGGGTGGCTTTGTGGAACCACCACCACAGCCAGGACTCAGAATTGCTCCTTCACTGCAAGGTACCCTCATGCTTCCCTTTATAGCTACACTCACATCCTTCCCACCCAATCTGCAACCCCTGGTGTCTTTGTTCATTTTGTGCTGCTGTAACACCTGAGACTAGGTTGTTTATAAAGAAGAGAAATGTATTCTCATAGTTCTAGAGGCTGGAAGTCCGAATCATGGCACCAGCATTTGGTCTGGTGAGGGCCTTCTTGCCGTGTCCTCACATGGCAGAAGGTAGAAGGACAAAAAGGAATAAACTTTCCTGCAGAAGGGCAGGAAAAAGGAGAACCCACTCCCACAAGCCTTTTTATAGTAACATGAATCCATTCCTGATGGTGGAGCTCTCACAACCTAAACACTTCCCCAAAGACCTCACCTCTCAGCATTTTTGCACTGGGGAATATGTTTCCAACACGTGAACTTTGGAGAGGCAAAAACATTCAAACTACAGCACTGGCAACCACTGATCTGTCCTCTTTCTCTTTCTTCCTTTCTTTTTTAATTTTTTTTTTTTTTTGAGATGGATTCTTGCTCTGTTGCCCAGGCTGGAGTGCAATGGCGCGATCTCGGCTCACCGCAACCTCTGCCTCCTGGGTTCAGGCAATTCTCCTGCCTCAGCCTCCTGAGTAGCTGGGATTACAGGCATGTGCCACTGCTCCACTAATTTTTTTTTTTTTTTTAATAAAGACAAGGTTTCACCATGTTGGTCAGGCTGGTCTTGAACTCCCGACCTCAGGTGATCCACCCACCTTGGCCTCCAAAGTGCTTGGATTACAGGTGTGACCCACCACGCCCAGCCTGTCCTCTGTCTTTGTAATTATTATTTTAAGAATGTCATACAAATAGAATCTATGGTATATAACCTTTTGAAGTTTGTTTTTTTTAACCTACCATGATTCCCTTGAGATCCATCCAGGTTGTTTTGTATATTAACATTTTATTCCTTTTTATTGCTGAGCAGTATCCCATGGTATAGAGGTACCAGAGTTTATTTGTTGGAGGACATTTGGATGATTTCAAGTTTGGGACTACTATACATAAAACTTGCTGTGTACTTTCATGTATGGGTTTTTATATAAACAGAGTTTTAATTTCTCTGGGATAATTGCACTTATAAATGAAGTTGTTTGCATGGTAGTTGCAAATATAGTCTTATAAGAGACTGTCAGACTGTAGCGAAGTGGCTGTACCATTTTACTAGTAGCATTTTTTAAGGTAGGGGTGTGTGTGTGTGTGTGTGTGTGTGTGTGTGTGTGTACACGTTTTGTTTATTTGTTTTCTGAGATAGAGTCTGGGTCTACTGCCCAGGCTGGAGTGCAGTGGCCTGATAACAACTCACTGCAAATTCCACCTCCTGGCCTCAAGCAATCTTCCTGCCTCAGCCTCCTGGGTAGCTAGGACTACAGTGTACACCACCATTCCTGGCTAATTTTTGTTTTTGTAGAGACTGGGTTTTGCTATGTTGCTCAAACTGGTCTTGAACTCCTGAGCTCAAGCAATCTGCCCACCTTGGCTTCCCAAAGTGCTGGGACTATAGACATGAGCCACCACACCTGGCCTTTATATGTATATTTTTGATCATAGTAACTTCAGTATACAATTAAAGAGTAATATGTGTGGAAAATAAATACATTAATATTTATTCAACTCTAGATAATGTTTGATGCCATAATGGGTTTAAAATAACTCTGGGAGCCTAGGAATCTAGTCTGTAGATTAGAAACCACTGAACTGGGTATTTTATTATTAAAAATAATAGTCATTTTTTCCATTGTAATAACATATCAATAACATATTTCCCATATGCTCAGTGGAGAAAATTTGGAAATAAGGAAAAGTAGCAAGAAGAAGCTGGGGGAAAGAGCCACCCATAATTCTATTACCCAGAGTCAAAAACATCATTTAACACTTTTTCTGTGCATCAAAAACAAACAAAATCATACCTCCATCATTTCTGGTGCAACCTGCATTGTGACAGCACAGTGTTGGCCAGTTACGGTGCAGAAAACAGTGTTGCCCTGGGAGCCTGCAGTGGTGGGAGATAGCCCCAATAGTGGCAGGTACTGTGCAGGAGGAGGCTCGTGTGAAAGTCCTGGAGGGATGTCATGGGACACAGTGATAGGGACATAGGGCTGTGCTGTCTGCACTGGGCCAAATGGAAGAGCAGATTTTTCACAGTAAATGCAGGCAGACCCTTTTTTCCCCTGGTTGTCTAACCTATTATTGCAGAAGTGCTTATATACCTTCTTTTCCATTTGTGCTTTGGCAGGATGACATCATTGATGATGTTGACAGCTTTCTCGCTGCAGCAGAGACCCTGAAGGAAAGAGGTGCATATAAGATCTTTGTGATGGCGACTCATGGCTTGTTATCTTCTGATGCCCCCCGGCTGATTGAAGAGTCTGCCATTGATGAGGTAACAGGGTCTGGTTGCGTGTGGGTGCAGCTGCCTAGGCTTTTGGCACATCTTGATCTCAGAGAGTAGGGATAAGACAGATCTTTTGTGGTTAAGAAGGGACTCAAGTGCTGGGCGTGGTGGTTCACACCTGTAATCCCAGCACTTTGGGAGGCTGATGCAGGTGGATTACCTGAGGTCAGGAGTTCGAGACCAGCCTGGCCAACATGGTAAAACCCCGTCTCTACTAAAAATACAAAGGTTACTTGGGTGTGGTGGCAGCTTCCTGTAATCCCAGTTTCTTGGGAGGCTGAGGCAGAAGAATCGCTTGAACCCAGAAGGCAGAGGTTGCAGTGAGCCAAGATCACGCCATCGTACTCCAGCCTGGGCAACAAGAGTGGAACTCCTCTCAAAAAGTAAAAGGGATTCAAAGGTGGTTAATGACTGTATTTTGTTGAATATAAGCCTCTAACTCTACCACTTCTTTTAAATGACAGCTTTATTGAGATATAATTTACATACCATACAAGTCATCCATTTGAAGCATACAATTCGGGGCTGGGTGCAGTGGCTCACGCCTGTAATCCCAGCACTATGGGAGGCCACAGTGGGTAGATCACTTGAGATCAGGAGTTCAAGACCAGCCTGGCCAATATGGTGAAACCCTGTCTCTACTCAAAATATAAAAATTAGCCAGGTGTGGTGGTGGGCACCTGTAATCCCAGCTACTTTGGAGGTTGAGGCAAGAGAATCTTGAACCCAGGAGGCGGTGGCTGCAATGAACCGAGACTATGCCACTGCACTCCAGCCTGGGCAGAACGAGACTCTGTCTCAAAAAAAATAATAATAGTAATAATAATGTGTACAACTCATTGGTTTTTAGAATGTGCACAGTGTGCAGTCATTACCATAGTTGATTTTAAAACATTTTCATCTCCCTAGAAAGGAACCCCCATACCCATTAGCTGTCACTTCACATTTTCTCGCAATGCTTTTAGTCCCTGGCAGCCACTAATTTGCTTTCTGTCTCTCTAGAGTTGCCTGTTCTGGACATTTCATATAAATGAGATCATACAATGTGTGGTCTTTTGTGTCTGGCTTCCTTCACTCAACATAATATTTTCAAGGTTCATCCATGTTGTAGCATGGAGCAATACTTCATTCCTTATGATCAAATAATAATTCTGTTGCCTGGATAGTCCACATTTTGTCTCTCTTTTCATATTTCATATGTTGACAGAAATTTTTTTTCTACTTTTTTTTTTTTTAAGACGGGGTTTCACCATGTTGGTCGGACTGGTCTTGAACTCCTGACCTCAGGTCATCCGCTCGCCTTGGCCTCCAAAGTGCTTGGATTACAGGCGTGAGCCACCGCACCCGTCATTTTCTACTTTTAAACTTATGATTAGTGCTGCAGTAAGCATTTGTGTACAAGTTTTTGTGTGGACGTGCGTGTTCCCTTCTTTTGGATACGTACCTAGGTTTAGAATTGCTGGGCATACAGTAACTTCACGTTTAAACTTTGAGAAGCTGCCAAACTGTTTTTCAAAGCAACGGCACCATTTTACATCCCCACAGCAGTGAGTAGGGGTTCCAGTTTCTCTGCATCCCTCCAACACTTGTTGTTATCTTTTTTGTCCTATCTGCCCTAGTGGGTGTGATGTTATCAAATCTTTTTGTTTGTTTGTTTAAGACAGGGTTTCACCGTGTTGGTCAGGCTGGCCTTGAACTCCCGACCTCAGGTGATCCATCTGCCTTGGCCTCCAAAGTGCTTGGATTACAGGCGTGAGTCACCACGCCCGGCCCCTGATGTTATCAAATCTTAACCTAAGAAGCACAGGTAACTTCACATTGACTTGAAATATTGACTTGAGACATAGACCCACTGTTTTCCTGTCATGGAGAGCCTCAGATTTGAGAAGGTAATCATATTTCCAGACCAAATCATGAAGCTACTTGGCTTTCTGATGCTCTGGGTTTTTCCTCTTGCTTCACAGGTGGTGGTCACCAATACAATTCCACATGAAGTCCAGAAGCTCCAGTGCCCCAAGATTAAAACTGTGGATATCAGCATGATCCTTTCAGAGGCGATCCGTCGGATCCACAATGGAGAGTCCATGTCCTACCTTTTCAGAAACATAGGCTTAGATGACTGAACAGCTTTCCTTTAGGAAAATTCCCAAGGGCCAAACTGGAAACGTAAAAGTGACTGCCTGCTGGGATAGATTCACAGGAGCCATTGTATTTGTTCCCCTCTCCTTGTAACCTCACTTCTTGATTCCTATGAAGATAGACCAACTTTTTATGTCAGTCTGGGTGTTTGTGAGTTTGGGAGCAATTTTTATAAAAGAAAACCTTTATCTTGTCTTTTAAAAAGGTAACATCTTGTTTTAGTTTAACCATTTAAAAAATAACACTTGGAATAAGATTTGTAAGCTCACAAAGTCTTTTTCCGAAGTTGCTTGGGCCAAGTGGTTAAAAAAGTTAATAAAGTAAAATGATCTGTATAATACCTGCAGTTGAAAAGCCAAAAAGATTATACTGTTAAATCCAGTAAATGACATTTTTAGAGATGCTTTTATAGAGAAGCATATGGAATATGTGATTGTATTTATTTTCTGCAGCTAAAAAAGGAATAAAAACTTGTGTGTGTTTGTTTTTCTAAAACTTTGTGTTTTGGCAGTCGTTTTATAACTAAAATAAAATGAAAGCTGAATCTACACACTGTGAATGTTGAAATGTTCATCAGCTTGTTTTCTCTTCTGCAGCTTTGCAGGGGGATGCAGCAGCCTCTCAGAGACGTAGTGTTCTCTGTTCTGACAATTTGTCCAAGGCCTTGAAAGTGCCTGCTGTGTGGTCATTTGACTGAGGCGGGAGAGGAGCTGGGATCTCAGGATGCAAGGCTGCAGGCAGCAGGGGAACCACTGGGCACCAGCTGCCATTGGTCGGGGTGTGGCTTTGCCCCCTCTTCATGGCTGGCTGTTCTCTGCCATGCTCTAGGGAGATGAGATGCTGGAGGATGCATCCCAAAGACCAAGTGACATGACCCTTGTTGCTGTCAAGGGTCTAAGTATCATATGTCTTTAGAGTTTAGGACCCTGAACTCCCCCACAGAGTCTGTTGGACTGGCCCCCCTTGGAGCACTGGCACTGGGGTTTACACCCATCTGTCCACCCACTCAGCCTGACTTATGGGGGAAAATGTAGACTTGCTCATAAAAACTAATTTTTCTTCCTCCTAAAACACTTTAAACCTTTGCTTTCTGCTTGTCTGTGTTAGAATCTGAAATAAAATAGTAGTTTACTTAGCACAAAATTGAGGTCAGTCACCAGCCACGCTGGCCTTCCCTGTGCTCCACAGAGAGCAGCGTGGCCCAAGGGCTTGCCCCAGTAGGCCAGGGCCTTGCCTGTGCAGGAGCACTGAGGGCTCTGCTTCTGGAAGCTGCCTGAGTATTCCATGGGCTCCTTCCTGCACACCCAGCAGTGCCACCCCTCACCCCTACTTTACTTCTGAGGAAACAGCTTTGGGGGAAAGCTGTTCTCTCCCCATACTTTCAAATCCAGTTAATGATAGAGCTGTTTACTTTGAAAAAGTGTCCTTGAATTTTCCGAACCTGTCCCTAGAAATTGGGTCTCTCGATCTTCAGAATGAATAGGCTTAGGGCATGGGATGGTAGCTGGCAGTTTCTTTGCCGGTGTAGCTCTGTCAGTTGCAGGCTGGAGACCTCCAGCCAGCTTCTACATTTGGAAAAAGAGCTTTGGGAGCAAGGTGTCAGCATCCGTGAAAGTGGGGCCTGCCCGTGGTGCTCGGACCTCCCACTGTTGCTGTGAAATGGGTTGAAGAGGTTTCAGTAAATCTCACACTGTGGCTTTCGCTGCATTTGGGTTCCTCTGCTCTTTGGATGCTGTCTAACTGCTGCAATAGATGATGGTTGAAGTCACTATGTGGTTTGGCTTTATAACAAGTGACAGGCACTTCCTGAACAGCCATGAGTTGCCCCCCGGGGTGGCTGTGCTGGCACAGTGGCCCTCCCGTGGTTTGGGAATGGCGATGCTGCCCTAGCAGGAGGACAGTTTCTCCTCTGGGTTCCTTGGTGATGCAGTGGACTTGCAAAGCTCCTTCAATGGGAGGTTTCCTCCTGCCACTGTATCCAGTGAGCTTTGGCCTCCATGGTTTTTCCTGGCATGTCATCCTTCATGAAGAAAAGTCACATTTACAGAAGTGAATGGAAACGTTTTATGGGAGTGTTTTCCTCTGGGTGATGAACTTGGCTAAAGCGAGGTTCCATCGCACCCACAGAGACTTCAATGTCTGCCCTGAGTTGGCTCTGGAAGAACATGAAGTTGAATGCCGAGAGGAGCCACAGGCAGGGCTTATGAGCTAGCAGAGAGCTGAGGCCCAGGAAAGACAATTGGCAGACGATGGTGGTGGAGGGTGGAGTGCCACATCCTGGCCCGCTGGGGTGGGGCAGGAGGATGGAGGCCCTCAAGGGGCAGCTCGCGTTCTGTGATGTGGGGAGGTCTGGGGGCTTCATGAATGCCCAGTAAGGACACCCAAGCCCCTCAGCCACCCTCTTCCCTGCCGGGAGGAGGCCCCAGATACAGTTTCTCCACATATTGTAGGCTTTTCTTTGGCCAGAGAAGCCATTTACCCTAAACTGCTGTCTTTGCTAGAGACAGAGACAGTCTGTGGCCAGAGATAATGGGGAAGTGAACCCAGAAATTCTATGACAGAAAACAGACTGTTTCCAGTTCTGACTGTGACTTCATCGCTTGACAGACACATGGTTAGAAAATGCTCTGGAGGCATCAAGATCACAGGATGCCACCAAAGGGCCTGAGTGGATGGACAGATACGAGTTCCACCACACTGTGTGCCAGGGACATTAATCTTTAGGCTCTCACAGTTTATTACCTCTAAGGCTGAGGAGGGAGGATTGCTTGAGCCTGGGAGGGTGGAGGTTGCAGTGAGCTGAGATCATGCCACTGCACTCCAAGCTGGGCAACAGAGCAAGACCCCGTCTCAAAAAAAAAAAGTTGTAGAATTCAACACCTACTTGTAACAGATCAACCAGACAAAAGATAAATAAGAGATCATGCTGGGTGGCAGAGTGAGATCTTGTCTCAAAAAAAAAAAAAGAAAAAGGCTGAAATGCTAAATTTTATGTTGTGTGTACTGTGTACTTCATAAGACATTATTGGAAGAAATTATAGAAGACCTAAACAGAAAGACATCCCATGATCATGGATTGGAAGTCTTAATATTGTTAAGATGCAAAACTCCAAAGCAATCTACAGATTCAGTGTAATCTCTATCAGATTCCCAATGGCATTTTTTTTTTTTTGGCAGATATAGAAAAATCCATCCTAAAATTCATATGGAATCACCAGGGACCTCAAATAGCCAAATCAGTCTTGAAAAAGAATGAAGTTGTAGGACTTGCACTTCTCCATTTCAGAACGTCCTCCAAAGCTGTAATCAAAAACAGTCGTTCTGGCATAAGGAGAGGCATATAAGCCGATGGAATAGAATCAAGAGTTCAGAAACAAACACTATATATGGTCAATTTATTTTCAACAAAGGTGCCAAGATCTCTCAGCAAGGAAAAGTGGTGATTTTTGGGGGTTCTTTTTTGTTTGTTTGTTTGGAGATAGAGTCTCGCTCTGTTGCTCAGGCTGGAGCGCAGTGGTGTGATCTTGGCTCACTGGCGCTATCTCAGCTCACTGTAACCTCTGCCTCCCGGATTCAAGCAATTCTTGTAGCTTAGTCTTTGCATAGCTGGGATTACAGGTGCAAGCCACCACGCCCAGCTAATTTTTGAGTTTTTAGTAGAGATGGGGTTTCACCATCTTGGTCAGGCTGACCTGGAACTCCTGGCTCACCCACCTCAGCCTCCCAAAGTGTTGGGATTACAGGCGTGAGCCACTGCTCTTGGCTGGGAGAAACTTCTTAATGGGCACAGGATTCTCTCTTGGAGAGACAGAAATATTTTAGAACTAGATAGAGATGGTGGGTGCGCAACATTGTGAATGCACTAAATTATTTACTTTTTAATGTTATTATTTATTTTTTGAGATGGGGTCTCACTCTGTCACCCAGGTTGGAGTGCAGTGATGCAATCACTTGCTGCAGCCTCCACCTCCCAGGCTCAAGCAATCCTCCCTCCTCAGCCTCCCAAGTAGCTGGGACCACAGGCATGTGCCACACATTCAGCTAAGTTTTGTATTTTTAGTAGAGACAAGGTTTTGTCATGTTGCCCAAGCTGGTCTCGAATTCCTGGGCTCAAGTGATCCTCCCACCTCAGCCTCCCAAAGTGCTGGGATTACAAGTGTGAGCCACAGTGCTTAACTAATTATTCACTTTAAAATGTTAATTTTATGTTTTCTGAATTTCTTCTTCTTTTTTTTTTTATGGCTGCGTAGTATTCCTTGGTGTATATGTACCATATTTTCTTTGTCCAGTCTATTATTGATGGGCATTTGGGTTGGTTGAATTTCTTCTTAATAAATTTCAGTTTCACACATAAAGAGCTTGGGAGTTGTGACTCCATCCTAACAACAAGTAAAAACTCAACAAACTGAAAAATCAACTCTAGTTAGTTAGATCCATACGAAAAGTGAGGTTACAGGGCAAACCGCTGCTCCCATAATCAAAGAGACAGAAATGCAAACACCAAGAACACTTTACCGAAGTCTTTACAGGAACCGGTGCCGGAGTTAGGAAACCTGAACTACAACTGACCAATTGTTAGAGGCCTGGTGTGAACAAGTCTGAGAGTTAAAAACTCCAGGGGGACCCAGTCTTATGGGGACTCCATACTTTTGCGAATTTTACCTTCTCAAGAAAAATCCCCTTGAGCTTCCAGCAGGGAGACGGAAATAGGAATCATTCTGAAAATTCAGAGCACTGTATTCTTCTTAACAAACTCTGCCCTCAGGAGAAGCTAGTTAACCAGAGCCTAACCCTCTGGGGTTTCATCAGAGCCTCAGTAAACTAGGAGAAGGATAAAACCTAACTCTAGCCAACTCTAACTTTCCACATGGGAGAAGAGAAATAACTAAAGCTCACCCTAGCCTTCATGTGGAAGAAGGATAGTACCCCATCCCAGGCCACTCTCGCCATCCTGTCTCACCGAAGGGAAGAGAAGAAAACCTGAGAAAAGCTTGGTGAGATCTACAGTCCAGAGGCACAGGGTCACCAGAAAAGACTGAGACCTAATTGCAGGACTCTGTCCCTACACCTCACACCACACCACCAATGGCATATTTATAGAAGTTCCTTTTGCCCAGTACATCACTCCCAGCTATCAAGGAAAAAAGTACAGGGCACATTAAAAAGCAAAGAACAGGGCCGGGCGCGGTGGCTCAAGCCTGTAATCCCAGCACTTTGGGAGGCCGAGGCGGGTGGATCACGAGGTCAAGAGATCGAGACCATCCTGGTCAACATGGTGAAACCCCGTC